CTTACTCCATGGTTGTTTGGGGGACATTGCTGTGCGCAAATTGGCTGCAGCATTTCACCCACAAAAGATACAGTCACTACACTTTACACTATATCCTGTGAAGCACTTTGAGACGTCTCAACAACGTGATAAGGCGCTATATCAAATGCAAGGATTATTAATTTTACAGATCATATGCCAGTGAGCAGGATGACATCAACAGGAATGAAATCAACCTTGCTGAATGAACGCTTGAAGACCTTCTGCTTCAACCATACATATGGTCACTTCCCCCCTCCCACCCGGCTTGGCATCGTGCTCAGCCAATGTCAAGCGCTCTGGGACGCTACCCTTCCTGAGGGGCGCTATAAACACAAGTTGTTATCGTGATCGTTCGTCCACTGACAGGTGCCTGTCACACACAGAGAAGACCAAAACCGTTTAATTTTGGAAGAGAAGAATCATTATTAATTAATTAGTTAATTATTATCATTAATTATTATCACTAAAAAGAAACGATCTGTCTTGTACAGACAGGTCTGTGGTGGATCTGGAGTGCTGCCCCTCTGTGCTGGCGATACGCATTACTTTGAATCTGCAAAAGGCACCGGATTCAAATCACTAGGAAATAACTTAAGTGTGTGTGTGTGTGTGGATGAATGACACGTCTGGTGAATAACATCTGGAAGGGAGGGGGGGGGGGGAATGGGGGGGTGGGTGGGGGTTAATGTCCAGTGTTTAAAGTCCTGATTCGCCAGGATCTCTTTATTTGGTGGGAAGGGGGAGGAGGGAATGCTGTCCCATTGGTTGGCCAGAGAGTTTTATGGTAAGAAAGCAGGGTTTCCAGTCAAATCCGTTCCCAACACTGTGGGAGAAGGATAAAATCTGGGTGAACCTGCACACACACACACACACAGGCTCCAAGGACATCCAACACATCAGCATCATCTGCATCATGCTGAGGACACTCAGCCTCCTGGTTCTCCTGGCCACTCTGATCTTAACAGGTTAGCATTGCCTTTGGGGTGGTGGTTTGTGTGTGTATTAGTGTGTGTTTTACTTAATTGTTGGGATTTGTCTAATCTCTGGAGAGGTGGAAGAGAAGGAGAAGGAGGAGAGTGTGAAAGGGAAAGGGAAAGGCAGTCCAGTAGTGGAAGATTCTGAGAGATTCAGAGCTTTTTATTTTTTTAAAAAAAGAAACGTTTGGGAACCTGGTGCAAATTGGTGAAGTGGTACAACAAGTCTGCCAATGGTTGGACCTGGGGTCAAGTGATCTGAGTCTCTGAGCAGTATCAGTCTGTTGTTTTTCTTCTTATTCTTTCTCTCTCTCTCTTTCTCTCTCTCTTCACTCTTTCTCCCTCTCTTTCTCTCTGGGCAACTTGCAGAATAAAGAAAGCCAAGCTGCTGTTTTATTTTTTTTCGATGCTCTCAGCTCGCTGTCAAGCATTCTTTCAATCCTTCTGGTCTGGGATGGAAGCCCTTTTGGAGTCAGTGCAGTGACTGTTCATTTATCTGTCTCTGCAAATCCAGTGAAACAGCCATGTCAAGACATGTGTGGATATGTCAAGTCCAGCTCTGGTCTGCTTTCACCCGACCAGTCAGTCACTTGAGTTTTGGCAAGGTCCTTATACACTGTGTCTGGAGGAGAGCTGTGGTGTGTGTGTGATAGGGATATGTGCCCTGCTCTCTATTAAAATCTCCTTAGCCGAGGAGCTGCGGCAGGCAGTCAGGATGCTCAGATTCTATTTGGATCTGCTTTTTATTTTCTATGGGGAAATCTCATAAAATTAACCCCTTATGACTTTAAATGTAATTAAGCAACCTTCTTCAAAAGTGGCGTGTGCCTGCAAAATAAGTTAACCAGTTACATAAGTGTCATAGATTTTATATCCCTATGCAAGTATTTTTTTAGCAAAAAATCTTTATGTATATATATAAAGATGTGTGTATATATACATAATATATAAAGATGTTTCGCTATAATTCTAGAAATACTTGGGATATAAAGTCAGAAACTCATTTTAAATGTTTTCAAGAATTGGATATATTCATGAAAAGGTAAAAAATTGCAATTCTATGGGCAAAGAGTGGGGAAGTGAGACTAATTTGATAGTTCTTTAAAGACCCGACACAGACATGATTGGCCGAATGACGTCCTCCTGTGCTGTAAGATTCTATGATTCTAATAAGGCTCAATTTGGAGTTCGGTCTCTTTACCTGTTATTTAACTTTTTTGTTTGTTTTGCCCTTTTTTATACATAATAAGACATAAATATCTACTGAGTGAGTGCTGGTGGAATTTCTAAGCATTATGAGCCTTGCTTTCAGCAACTTGGGATGTTCTTCCAACGTGAAAGGTGCGATATAAATGTAATTTGTTGTTGAAGTGGATGTGCTGTCCTGGGCATAAGGAGAATAAGCATAGGGTTAGCTGGTTAAAGATCCCACAGTATAGATCAGGACTATTCTTAGCAAGATTCTCAGTTAACGTTTAACCAGAAAAATCACCCCCAAGAAACAGGTAAAGGGACAAACGCAGAGAGGGGCAAATGATAATAACAATACTCATATCTGTCCCTTTCTAAAAAGAGGTTTGAAAAGGCTTTGCTTCATATTTCAGCAAGATTAATGTTTGGATTCAATGTGTTTAGCTCAGTTGGTAGCAGTATTGTCTCTGGGTCAGAGGTGGTCAGGTCAAGTCCTACATCAAGATTTGGAGCTCATAATCTTGGCTGACATAGCAGTGATGTCCCGAGGGAGTAATGCTTTGCTGGAGGTGCTGTAGTTCAGATGAGGTGTAAGATTTCAAATCCCATGTTGAGTTGGACAATAAAAATCCCCTGTGGGTGTTTCTTGGAAGAATAGGGGAGATGCAACAATAATAATCTTTGATACAGCGCTCTATCATATCATTGAGATAAGCACTTTGTAGGATTTACTGTAAAGTGTAGTGACTGTATGTTTTCTGGGCATTATTCCGCCCTCATCTAAATTAGCCAAAAAGCCAATTCTCCTCGGAGGGTGGTAAGCATGGTCTCCTTGGTGCTGAACTGGCTCCAAGGTGACATGCTTGACAATGGAATGTCAGAATCGAGCCCACCCTTGTAGCAGTCTCGGTAATCCGGTTCCTGAGGCAGGTCGGTCCTCCAAGGCACTACCAATGACAGCACAGTCAGCCTGGCTCATTGGCAGGACCTGAGCGCAGGGATCTTCCCACTCAGCTCCTGTTAACCCTGCAAGCCAAAGCCTTAATGGGTAGGGTGGTCCTTGCTGGACAAGCAGCAGGAAAGTTTGCCAGACAGTGATATCAATGGCAAGCTGTGCGGTTTTAGCTAGTTAGACTCCAGCAGTTACCCCAACACACACTCTGAGGTCCCCAAGCCTTGGCTCTTGCCAGCCGGCATCTAAATACTTTCTGGAATTAGGTAACCAGGATGCATCCCGCCAGGGAGAGAGTGCGCATTCCATTCCAACAACCTACCTCTGGGATTCCCATGTGTAGATGTGATACATGTAATTCTCAGTTTGGTTTAGTTCCTCTTAAGCATGGTGATGGGTTTCTGCATATATCACACACACGGTTGACCAAAAAAAAGCAAATTCTATTTGCTCAGCTCAGCTATGTTCTCTCACAACATTTGCTATAACTGTAGCTTCTGTATTTGTCCACACGACTGTCACCACAGTGCAAAGTAACTCGATGTATTATGTTTGAGACATTTTGATTTGATAAAGTGGAAGTATTCATATTGAGGTCTAATGTCAGATTCTTTTTTGACAGATTTCTTAATGTTCACCTACTGTGTTTCTCAAGCATATTTCATGCTTTAGGAATTTGATTAATACACTTTGTTATTTTTAAAAAAATCTGAATAGGTAACACACATTAGACCCCGATTCGATTAATTTGGCAGTGCTTAACAGGAGAAGATAAATGGCCATCATTTCTGGCTGTTTGTGGGACATTGCTGTGTGCTAGCTGGCTGCCATTAAGTGCATTAAGATCACTATTATTATTACAGCACAAGCTTGTGGTAAATATTTAATGCAACATTTTTCAGTTTTTCATCTACAAAACATCTTGTGAAGTTCATTGAGACGACCTGCTGGTGTTAAAGTTGCCATATCAAATGCACGTATATATATATTGTGATACAATTACTGCAGGCTTGTGGATATAGCAAAGTTATCAGTTCTCAGCATGACTATGTTCCCTCACAACAAGAGGTGCCCACAGCATACCAGTGCACAACACTAGAATAAACCCGATGACCGCTATCAGGATTTGAAGTTTCTTCTTTAAGTCAGGAAATTTGGATGAATGATAGTTAAAGCTACTACTAAGATAGTTTATGCCATTCTATTAGTCCATGTAAATCACACAATTGTAACACCCTCTCAGTTAGTTAACATGTTTTTTTGAGGATCTGGCAGTAGTTGCAGTCTGCATGAATTTGAAGACACGCGTTGTGAACTTTCTGTGTTGATTCTGTACTTCATGTTTTAAGATACCAAGGGCCACAGCTGTTACAATTGTGTTTTCAACTTTGTGGTGAAAGAGGTATGTGCAGAAAAAAAACTGTTTTTTTAATGAAAATAAAATAGCTTCGAGCCTCATCTGCTGCAGAGATTTTTGCAGGTGTTTGATTTTCGGAAAGCACAGTTTTTGCAGTTGTGTTGCATGCTGTGAAACCTCGCCTCAGGGTTCGTAACAACCCAGGTCAAAAACGCAGGGTGCAAAGTGGAGGTCAGTTGAGAGAGTACAAAGACCACGTTTCTCTTATTATGACCTTGGAAAGGAAATTCATAATAGATGCTGTTGACAAGAAAGTGCCAGGGCATATTTACATCAAGTCAGCTTCAGCTCCCACTATCACTCTGCAGAAAAATAAAGTTAAGAAATGTTGTAACTTTGAGTGCTGCAGTTTTAAATGTTTTGTTTTACATTTATATCCTAAGGGCAGGTGACAGATCTTAGGAGGATCAGTAGTTTCCATAATGTTCTGTCCAAATAAAAATGGATGCTCCAAGGGGGTGGTAGAAGGTATTTGGATGCAGACAAAGGTGAAGAATTTTGGACTAAAACATTTTGTGTACACAGTGAGAAGAAAAATGATCGAGAAAGATTTGATCATGGATCATTTCCTGAAGATGTTCAGTCAGTACAAGCTGCCATCAGCAAAACAAATCCCGTTCTTGAGATGGATCTCAAGAGTACTTGACTGCAAATCAACTTATTTACAGTATATTCTGTGAAGTGCTTTGAGATGTCTCGAAGACGTGATAAGGCACTACATCAAATGCAAGGATTATTATTATTATTCGCACCTGCGTACATCACCCGCGGAGCCTCATTGGGATGTTTAGTGCAGTTTTGACAATTAACAGCAAAGGAATTTTATACATTAGACAGGGTTTAAAGAAGAGTGGTATGGGCAACTTTTTAAAAAAATAGGGTCTCTGATTATAATAATAATTTTTTATAATAAGTCTTGCATTTGATATAGCAAATTTCACTCCAAGAGGACGTCTTAAAGCACTTCGTAGGTAAAGCATTTTACCGTAAAGTGTAGTGACTGTTATTTTCTAGGCAAAATGCAGCAGCCAATTTTCACAACAGCAATGTCCCACAAACAGCCATGAAATGAATGACGAAACCAAATAACAATCTTGATAGACAAATGCACAATATCAAGTGCAAGGATTATTATTATTATTATTATTAATGGTGCCTTAACATGTTGTCAAAATCTTTCAGAAAACTTCACAGGATCTATTGCTAAGTGTAATGACTGTGTATTAGTAGGCAAATTTCTGAAGAGAAATTCACAGAAATTAATTCATCTGCACTGGTACAAAGAAATTATAATAAATTGGTCACTCAATCCACGACTGTTTGTGGGACACTGCTGTGTGCAATTGGCTGTGGTGTTTCGCCCACAAAATATACAGTCAATTCACTTTACAGTATATTCTGTGAAGCGTTTTGAGACGTCTCGAAGATGTGATAAGGCGTTATATCGAATGCAAGGATTATTATCATTATAAAGAAGATTTAGTGGAGAGGGTAGCGTGCATGATGCAGGTCTTTAAAGTTTGCATTTGCAAAGTTGTTCGTAGAATTTTAAAAGAATGTTTTCCCACACATAATAGTGATTATATGGAGCAGACTTTTCAAAGTAGGTGTCATTATCTCTTTCAAAATATGAGCAAATAAATATCTGCTTGGGAACATTATTTGAGATGACAATGAATACATTACTGGATATGCTTATAAATATGGTGTATGGCTACAAATAGTCAGTACACTTTACAGTGAAATCATGTGAGACGCTTTGTGATGATGAGCTTGTGTTTCAAATGCAAGGATTATTAAAGATAAACAAATACTCCCAAGGACATGTTGCTCTTGGTGCTGTTTCCTGAAGAATCTCCTCTTTGACCATGCCTTCAGCCACCCTCCCACTGTCTCTACCCTCAACCCTCCCTAATCTCAACCCCCCTCCCCCATCCACCCCCCAACCGCGCCTTGGGACGTCCTCCAACGTGAAAGGTGCTTTACAAATGTAATTTTTTATTGTATTGTTTCGATCAGGGAGGGAGGAGACGGGGGAGGGGAAGGGAATGGGATTTAATAACGGAGATGTGAGATGAATGAATATTTTGACAGTTTTCTGGATGACCTTTAGGGATCGGACAGTGTGCATCTGGACTTTTCCCTTGGAGAGTGGTTGGGTAGTGTCCATGAGATAGGTGGAAGAGCAGGCTTGATGGGCCAAAGACTCTTTTTCCGTTCCACGCTCTCCTGTGTTCCAGAACGGATACCTGAGAGTTCTAGCAAGGCAGCAGGTGGGATTGAGATGACATGATTAATAGTGAGAACTGTGATGTGAATTTTAAGATGCATGTGAATCCATAAGATTACATGACACTTTTGGAATCCCTCATTGAGATATATTATTTAAATTATATTGGTGGGGCGGGGGGATTATAGTGTCAGTGGTTGTGTCGGAAACAGCTGCTTGTGTGGTTACTGAGGGGAGGTACTCTCTGTGTCCTTTAGGAGTGAAGGGGATTAATACTTGTGACATAATTATTTGTAGGTTTAAGCAAAACCTGCAGTTCATTACTGTGAAATGCATCCCTGTATCTGATTACCACCAGCATCTGTCAGGACAGTTTTTTTTCTGGTCAGCCAGGTGTCTGATACATGCAGAAACCCATCACCGTGCAGACTGAGAGTTCCTCACATGTACGGACTCCACCTACACATGGAAATTGTTTCCTTTTCCTGGAATTGAACGTGCACTCTCTTCCTGAAGGGATTCACTCTGCTTACCTAATTCCATAGAGTGTTTGGTTCAGGTTGTCAAGAGTGTTTATGGAGATACTGCTGGATTTTAACCAGTGAAAACTACATAGCTTGCCTTTGAAAGTCCTGTCTGGTAAGCTTCCTGTTGTTCACCCCAGGTTCACTCTACTACCCTTTAGGGCTTTAGCTTACAGTCTAAATGAGCGCTATGCGGGAAGAATGCTTACTCCCAAGAACCAGTCTGCCGCACCAAGTCATGCCAGTGAGCTGGGTTGGCACTGTTCTGGAGTACTGCAGACCTACCTGGCTCAGTAACTCCACAAGGAATTGATTCAATTCCGAGATTACGTTTCCAAGCTATATAATATTAATAATTTGGTCACTCAACGCACAACTATTTGTGGGACACTGCTGTGCGCAGTGCGCAATTGGCTGTTGCGATTCGCCCAGAAAATATACAGTCAATTCACTTTGCAGTTTATTCTGTGAAACGTTATGATATATGCCTCATCGACATGATATATCAAGTGCAAGGATTAATATTATTAATATGGAAGATAATAAGATAGGTAATGAAACTGATTACTTGCTACTATGAGTAGATTTCCTTAGCTTTTACATGTCCATTGTCACAATATTGTTTTAGGGAACAGGATCTTTAAGATCTTTAAGATTAAACCTTGAGATTGACCTTGAAAACCTATCTTACTGTCTGTGGGACCTCCGCTCAACTTCACCCACAAAATATAGTGTCAATTCACTTTACAGTATGTTCTGTGAAACGCTTTGAGATATCTCAATGACGTGATAAGATGCTATATCAAGGAATATTATCATTATTTCAACTGCACTTTCAACCACCTTCTTTCCCCCATCCCCACCCATCTCTCGAGCGCCCCTCACTCCCCTCACAGCTCAAGAATGCAACCTTTCAGTCATTCTGCCCCATTTTCTAGAACTCCATCTGACCTCCTTCCCTCCCTACTCACATTCAAAGCCCGCCTCATGACTTACCACTTTGACCTGGCTTTTATCCTCCCACCCTTTTTGACAACCAGTTCAGATACCTCGCTAGTGGGTGAAGTGCTTTGAGAAGTCCTCAAAACATGAAAGGCACTGTATAAATGTAAATTATTTTGTATTATATTGTAAGCTCCCAGTCAGTTGTGTTAAATGCTTGACACATTCTCCTGATGTGAGAGGCACGATATAGATGTAAATTGTTGTTGTTGTAACTTACTCTCAACTCTTCTCACCAGCTGACAGCAAAGGAAGAAGTTTTCTTCATAAATTCCTGAAATCTCCTGGACTTATCTTGGTTGAAAAGTCCCTGATGACCAAATCGAAAGAAATTAACACCACTGAAAAATGTGCCAAGCAGTGCATGAAACTCAAACGTTTTGTTTGCAAGTAAGTACGGAAATGTTGAAAGGATCAGAATAAAGTAATGTCTCTCTCTATGGCTGTCATTGGAATTGTTCAAATGCATGAGAGAATGAGTCCCAATCTCACAATTCTTTCATCCAAGTGTCAGCCTGGCTCAGGTGACAGCACTCTCCCCTCTGCAATGCATTCCTGGGAGAGCACCTCATTGTGGGAGTGCTGTCCTGCGGATGAAATGTTCAACCATTTGCCAATTAGGTGGATGTTAAAGATTTCACGGCACTATTTGAAAAGAGAATGAAACTTCTCCCAGTGTCATGGAATAGTCACTCAACTTTGTAGTAAATCATGTGAAGCGCTTTGAGGTATCTTCCCAACATAATAAGTGCTATATCAAATGCAACGATTATTATTATATTTTGGAATCTACAAAAACAAGGAGGATTCAGGAAGTGCCAATCAAACAGTCGAATCAATTTACTATGGGATCAGCATATGTGTAAGGTCCAAGTCATTGTACAAAAGTTATTTGTTATAGTGCTTAATCCTGAATCACGAGTCCGAATACAATTCAAGGTACAACGGGATTTAGCAGGAGTGGTTTATTAAACCTAGCAAAATCTGGAACAAAATATTTGACAGCATTAGTGAAGAGCAATTAGTGAACTCTGGTTAGTTAAATATACCTCAACAAGTAATTGCTTAATTTCTATAAATCAAGCTCAGTGCTTGATTTATGGAAATGGATGAAAAACACTTATTAACCAAGGAAAAAAGGAATGAGGTTTTGCAGTGAATTGTGAGGGAGAGACTACATGATCTGAGCAATCTGCGGATGTAGACTTTAATGATCAAATGAATGAGATGCTTTCTTGGTCCTGTCTTATGTTTGAAGTAATTAATTTTTTATTGCAGATGTTACATTCACTGGTGTGTTCACTTTGAGCATAATGAGTCACGTGAAAACAATAAACACGCACCAGCAAATCAGGGGAGGGAGAAACTTGGTTTATTGAAGCGCTCCTCACATATTAGCTTTTACACAGAAGCTCATTTCCTTTGCTCAGCTAGGTGTCTGAAACTTGTGGAAACCAATCAATTTGCATAAGAGTAACCATACCAGACTGAGTATCCAAACTAGCCATGTATGCCACTTACACATGAAAATTCCCATGTCTGGAATGGAATTTGCACTCTCTCCCTCGAGGGATGCACCCTACTCAGAAAGTATTAAGTGCATGTTGGCAAGGGCCAAGGCTTGGGGATCCCAGAGTGTGTTTTGGGGTACCAGCTAAAAATGCATAACTTATCATTGAAAGCACTATCTAGCAAGCTTTCTGTTGTTTGTCCAGTTAAGACCACCCTAGCCATAACAGGAGCTGAGTCGGAATAATCCGTATCCCAAGCGATTGGTCTCCCCTTCCAAGTCGTGCCAATGAGCAGTGGTAATTAACAGGTTAAGAGGAAGAATGACTTAGGCTAGGACACAGGATTCCTTTAAGAAACAGCTTAATTCCATACTGGAAAGATGATAAGATTGGAATTCCTCAAAGTGGAGATGAAATGAGTTGAAAGGCCTTCTTCATCCAAAGCTCTGTTGTGATCTTGTGAAATGACAATTTCTAGTTGTGTCCTAGAGTGGAGTATGGGATCTCTGGGATCCCTAACCTGCGGCTTTTGTTTCCAGGGCCTTTTATTTTCGGAAGAATGAAAAACGCTGCTATTGTCTGTCGTTTAACAGCAAAACAAAAGGGGTGAAGAGGAAACAAGACAAAGGATTTGATCTTTACGAAAGAAAAGGTAGTTTTGCTGTTCCAACTTTAACACAAGCCTGGGCTACTAATGGTCATTGAACTCCCTGAACCTATCCCTGTGCTTCACCTCCTCTCTACCTGTTTTTGAATCCCACCTTAAAACTTACCTCTTCGACTACACTTACAGGCACCTCCCTTTTCTCTCTCTCACTTGCTTGGTGTCCAACCTGCCAATGCGAAGCACTCCAAGACTTTATGCTGTGTGAAGGACGCTATATAGATGCAAATCATTGTTGTTGTACATTCCACTACATATCTGTGTCCTGTCAGCATCCATCATATTGTAAATTCTAAACAATGGAATGAACATTGTAATTGAATGTTAACATCAATAAGGATGAGAACCACTGCCCTAAGTTAATTATTCCTCTTTAACACGTGCTGAGCCATTTAAGCTTTTACTTTCCCTGCATCAAAATCCTGTGGATTTCTGTAGCTCAGTGGTTAGAGCACTCACCTCGTAAGCAAGAGACCTAGGTTTGATTCCTGGGCAAGGCAAAATGTTGGGCAAGTTTCCTTATTCCACACGCCTCTGTTTATCAAGCAGTAAGTAAGAACCCGGTTGTTAGTCAATTGGTGGATCGCTTTTCTGGATGTAATAATTCCTTCAACAAAAAAATTTAAAACAAAAAAATGTGGTCACTCAATCCACTACTGTTTGGGAGACGCTGCTGTGTGCAATTGGTTGCCGCATTTCATCCACAAACTATACAGTACATTCACTTTACAGTATATCCTGTGAAGCGCTTTGAGACGTCTTGAAGACCTGATAAGGCGCTATATCAAATGCAGATATTATTATTATTATTATCTAATATTGTTAACCAACCATCTATTTTCCGCAGACTTTATTCGGGAATGCATTATTGGGAATGGACAAAACTACATGGGCACTAAGTCAGTGACTAGATCTGGTCGGACCTGTCAGCAATGGAATTCAATGAGCCCACACGAGCACAGGTAATGTCAGTAATAATAAAACTAAATTATAATCTTTCCATTCATTTTCAACTTGAATGTGCTCTGGTTAGGCCTCTGATCAGTCAGTGCAGAGGAAAGCAATGAGAATGATCCCCGGTGTCAGAGGCGTGAGCTGTGAGCTGAGCCAATGGAAAAGTGTGGACATATTTACCGAAAAAACAATTGTTTTTGACAATTGTTTTTCATTGTGGGGGTTTGACAAATTTTGCGGAAGCCAGTTGTTGCTATTGAGAGATAAAGTTTGTGTAACAATCCAGATTAAAACTATGGCCATATATTTCCTGAACATGTAGTTATGCTTAAAATACTGAAAATGTTAATTTGGACAGTACAGCGCAATTCGTCGCAGGAGCTCAGGTTAGGCCTGGCGCTGGGCTAAGTGGATTACCCACTTGCGCCACATCCATGACCCCAACGTGCACAGCGCATGTGCGACCAGAGCACCCACCCCCCCCCCACCAACCCAACCGTCCACCCACGGCAGCAGTGTAGAGCAAACAGCACACATAGGTCCGGTCCCTAGCGCACTGTGGGTACAGGTTTGCAGTGGAGTGGGGTGTTTGTAGCTCATTCCACAGAAAAAGTGCAGCCAAACTTTTCTAGTGTCCCAGGCTTTGAGCAACAATTAAATAAGCGAGGCAAACCCCGTGTTGGGGCTACGAACTTACAATCTAGACTGATACGCCGATGCTGTCCTGGAGAAGCGCTGGTTTGTTGGAGGTGCTGTCGTTTGGATGAGACATTGAAATGAGATCCTGTTTGCTTGTTCAGATGCCGTAGCATTATTTGAAAAGAGATGAGAGCTTCTCCCCAACAATCCTCCAAATGATATTGGTCATTCACTTCATTGACTGTTTATGAGGCAGTGCCTTGCACAAATTGGCTGCCACATTCGCCTACAAATACACGGTTATTACACTACATAGTAAATCCTGTGAAGCCCTTTGAGATGTTTTGATGATGTGGTAAGTTACTAAATCAAATGCAAGGTTAATTTATTATTTATTATGATCTAATAAACAGAATGGTCAGGCTGTATTTCTTACTGGCTTTCCTATGTGAGATAGTGATGCACTTCTGCTTTGGTTTGAACAAATGCCGTTCCCAAGTCTAGAATAAGCATTTGCTGGTGGTGTTAGTCATGAATGGATTTACTGCACTAATTGTTGCATTAAACAACCCACTAGCTCCTTCACCCACAGAACTTGTTCACAAAATTAGGAAACGTTTTCATGACTTCAAGGCCCAATATTGGTTGTGAGGATTTGAGATGAAGGATACTGTGGTCCAATTTGTTTTTTTTATAGTTGAGTGCCTGCCTGGCATTTTTCTCTTTAATGTATTTTGCGACATTTTGTAGGTTTACGTCTTGATTGGTGATCCAAAATGTCAAGGTCATGTAAGAGGGAATCCTACAAAAACCAATGCTGACATTACCCAATAAATCCTTGGACAGTCTCATGATGGATTTTATGCAATCCTAATAGATTCAATGTTGAATAAATATAAAGTGAATCAAATGGATTATCATTTTGACCTTGGGGTCAATGTGAAAAACAGCTGGGCTGGAACATTTCTGTTCCAGTTGCTGAGAAGGGATGAGTTTCAACTTCCTCTTAACACACTTGATTGTAAACATTCCCCTGCAGCTTTCCGAGAAGGACGCAAGAATATAATAATATGTGATAATCCTTGCATTTGATATAGTTCCTTATCACGACCTCGAGTTCACAGGATTTTACTGTAAAGTAGTGGGACTGTGTGTCGGCGAACACAGCCAATTTGTGCACAGCAGTGTCCCACAAACAGCCATCAAGTGAGTGACCAATTTTATTTGGTGGACTGTTGGTCAGGAAACCAAAACAAACTCCCTTCTCTATAATAATAATAGTTCCTTTATTTGATATAGTGCCTTTCATGTCGGGAGGACACTCAAAATGCTTAATAGGATTTACTGTAAAGTGTACTGATTGTGTATTTTGTAGGTATAAAATAGTCATAATAGTACTTACATTCCATATAGCACCAACAATGTTTAAACATCTCAGGACATGAAGTAACAAAAACAGCAATTTCCATTTATATAGTGCCTTTCACATAGGGTAATGTCTCAGAGCACTTTGCAAGGATGGAGTCAGATGCCAAGCAAGGGAGTGTGTTAGCGGGAAACTAAATCTGTCTATGAATTTCTACCACAGTTCATTCACAACTCGAGAAATCTGTGAATCAACAAACTTTTCTCCCCCTGAGTTATGTTTTATGTAATGTTTTTTGTTTATCAGAGTGATGGTTGTCTGTGCTGGGAAGTACGTTTTCACTCAGCACAGGCTACTCTTGCATGTGTATGATGTGGGCCAAATGGCTTCACTTTAGAATCAGAGGGAAAACATGCAATACATCAGTTCAACACCTTCAATTACCATACCAGTCATTTTTTGAGTAGAAATGCCCATTTTGAGCGAAAAGACAATTTCATTGTCGACGAGAGGAGAATGGGGGTGTGGGGTTGTGTGATCGTTGAACGGAATTCAAAATATCCAGACTGATTTGGATTTGATTGATCTGGGGGATGTGAAATTCTGCTGGTCGGCAAAAGGAAATCCCAGGGTAAGTGCAGATCACCAAGGTCAATGACTTTTACTGACTAGTGGGAGTCCGTGCTCCTAGTTTCCAACAGCCAGCAGAGAATGTCATCTCATCAGTCTGGGCAAGATTCAAACACAAATCCCAGAGGTAAAAGGACTGTTTTCTGGAAGGTGGATGCAATTCATATGGTTCATATTTTAGGTCAGGCTGTATTTTGGAAACTCAATTATCACTGCAAAAGTTCCTGCTAAATTCGATTCCTCACAGTCTTAGCTCTGCTTCCATTTAGTTTTAAAAAAGCCATGAGTACCAGCTGCTTTTTTGTTTTAAATTTTGGAGCATAATATCAATTTGGTCACTTAATCCACGGCTGTTTGTGGGACACTCTTATGTGCAATTGGCTGTCGAGTTGGCCCGCAAAATATAGAGTCATTTCACTTCGCAATATATTCTGCAAAGTGCTTTGAGACGTCTCAAAGGGGGGGATAAGGCACTATGTCGAATGTAAGTATTATTATTATTGTTACGCATTCTTACAATGTAACTTTGTTTTCTTTTTGACTAGCTTTCTAAATTTGAAGTATGGGAATTCACGGGAGAACTTCTGCAGGAACCCACATAAAGAGGAAGCAGGTCCATGGTGCTTCACAACAGACCCCAAGGTTCGGTTTGAGAGCTGCAGTATTCCACAGTGTTCAGAAGGTAACCATTTTGTTTGAGATACAGGGAGAATGAATTTGTTAGATACCAATCTGAATGTACTTCTGTAAATGCAGACTCAATTTATACTGTGAGACTCGGTTATGAACTCATTGGCAAATTGGTTGTCGGCCTGCCTCAGTTGGTTACACTCTTGCCTCTGAGTCAGATGGTTGTGGGTTCAAGCCCCGTGTCGGGATGACAAGCACAATCAAATGGCCTGTTTCCATGCTGTATCATTCTATTTAAATGTTTCTCTTTCTTCCCCCACCACAACATACACACACACAAAAAAATGTGTTTCATGGATTTTAAGTAAGCACAAATGGATCAAACAGTTTTGGTTTCATTTTTAGTTGAATGTGTGACGTGCAATGGAGAGAGTTACAGAGGGCCCATGGATCACACTCAGTCTGGGAAGGAATGTCAGCGATGGGACCATCAGAAACCACATAAGCACAGATTCCATCCTGAACGGTGAGAACATCCGTTCTAGTTGAAGTAGGATCTGAAAGTGTATTAACAGTTGAAAGAACCTCCCTCCCTCTCCAACCTGCTTACCCCCCAACACACAATCTGCTACCTCCGCTTGACTGACTCCCACCTTCTGCATGTCCCTTGTACCCTCCATTCCGCCGTGCTTTCAGCCACTCCGCCCCGAAACTCTGGAAAACTATTCCTCTATCCCTCCACCTTGCCCCTTGAGTTGCTGACCTGAATTGAACATTAAATGAATCGGGAAAGCTCATTGTTTTAACCTCAAATATTATTAACGCTCAAGAATATGATCCATGTTAAACGAATGGGTGAGAGCGCAAGGAACAACGCTAGACCAAGTTTGATATTTAATGATACTAAATTGTCAGTCACGCAGATGGCTAGTGTGGCAAATGGAAATGATACAGTGAGAGGTTCCAGTTAAGAGATCGAGACACATGGAGAGAGCTTTAATCTGCAGCTGGCTGTGGTACAGTGAACTGCACTGGGAGTTTGAGGTTGATGCTGGAATGGGAAAGTGTTCCATTCTCCAGCGCTAACATTCTCCTCCTGAAAGAATACAAAAATCAGCCCGTATCTAACATGTTAGTAAATTGGAGCATTTCATTTTGCACGTGCGTCCTTTTCTTATAATGACCCTTGCATTTAGCTGCAATCCTTTACGTTTCCTTTATAGAAAAAAAACTGTCAACATTGTGCATTTTTTTCCCCATCCTTTTATCAGCGAGCTATGGAAACCTTTTTGCACAGCTTACATATTTCTCTATGAAAGTAATTGTGTTAGTTTCAAATCTGGCACGGAGTCAGCTTTATATTTGAGCAGGACGCGCCATGGGAGGACTCCCCTGAAAAGCTGTGGTTGTTTTTGCAGATTTCCAGATGAGGGTCTCGATGATAACTATTGCCGCAATCCTGATGGTAAAACAAGACCTTGGTGTTACACCCTTGACCCCTACACCCCATGGGAGTTCTGTGCAATTAAGGAATGCGGTGAGTAAATATTCCTTTGTATTATAGATATTCTTTTTNATGTGCTCAGCTAGAAACAGTGAGAACCTTTCCAGATGCCAGATCCATTGCAAACTGTGGTCTTCAGAAGCACTGGTTAGTAAGCCAACCTTGCCAATCTCACAGAACCGAGAATCATGATTCACATTTTCCTTAAGACACAAGAAAAACATCTGAAAAAACTCTTTTTATTAAAAAAAACTGGCAGCTGACTGCTATCTATTAATCGCAATAACAGTTGATCTTTCAGTGATTTGTACCGTGGCGCATAAGAATGAATCGCTGTTCTCCATTACGGTTTGGTTGCAATTTTTCTGCGACTTGCAGAAAAATGACCCAGAAATTGGGCTTTGAAGCTGGGTCGAACGGTTGGGACATTAGCCCAGCCGATCGTTGTTTCCAAGACTAAGTTCAAGAGTTTTCAAATGAAGTAAATAGCTTTGAACGAGAAAACGTTGTGTTTTTTTCCTCCTCCCCTAATTCATGCGCTTAATCGTTTCAGGATGTTTACTCCATGAGGCATATCATCCCCAAATGCTGTGTACACTCATTTGGCAGTGAGATGTAGTGTATAAATAGGGGTAGATATAGCAAGCATCTTGCTGGAGCCTTGCTCCATAACCACATGGAGTTCGTGGGTCGAACGCTTGGGACATTAGCCCAGCCGATCATTGTTTACAAGTCTCTAAGTTCAAGAGTTTCAGGAACAGTGAGATTCACACTCATGCAGTATAATAACATTTGTGAAAATGTATCATTCTTAATATTAATAATCCTTCCATTTGATATAGTGCCCAAATCCACCACCCGGCGCCTCTGTTCGACTGGCACCAGCCTCCTGCTTGTCCCTCGCACCCTCCACTCCACCATTGGAGGTCGCGCTTTCAGCCACTACGCTCTGAAACTTTGGAACACTCTCCCTCAATCCCTCTGCCCCCTCCCCTTTTTCAGGTTCCGCCTTAGAACCTTCCTTTTCGACTGTGCTTACGGTCACCTTCCACCCCGGCTCGGAGTCAGGCTCCGCCATTGTTAAGCGCTCTGAGACGCTGCCCTGCATGGAGGGCACTATATAAGTCAAGTTGTTGTTGTTGCCCTTCATATCAAGAGGACATCTCTAGAGCACTTTGCAGGGTTCCTGTGAAGGGACTGTGTATTTTGTACGTGAACACGGTAGCCAATTTGCGCACGGCAGTGTCCCATAAACAGCCATGAATTGTTTGACCAGTTTTATTTGGGGGATTGTTGACCAGGACACTGAGAAACTCACTTGTCATTTCGAAATGTGCTATGGAGTCTTTAACGTTCACCTGAAACAGGCAGACAGGACCTCAGTTTAACATCTCATTCGAAGGATGGCATTAATGCTGGCCGTCCCCAATGAGAAAGTCTCTATACCAAATATAAAGATTATTGTTAAAGTGTCGAGATGGGGCTTGAACCCATAACCTTTTGCCTCGGCAGTGAGAGTGCTGCTAACTGAGCCAGGCTGACACTACCATAACACTGTAAAGCTGGGAGCAAGAAAAGCAGATTTACTGCTAGCAATATAAACACAGTGTTAGGTTTCAGATGATAACTAGATACAAGCATTGTTTCCTTACTTATTGTCCAGATCAGTGTTATTTGCTAAATATTTGCTAAGAACCGGCATATTATTATCCAATGTGTTTGAGGACAACTCTTGGGAATACTACCACATTCTACCCTGTGTAGTAATAGGTCCTGGATCTCTTCCTGTATTGCTTCACATATAATCATGCCACTGTGGGTTGTTGCAGAGTAGGGGTTAGAAACGTGCTCCACAAAAAGAAAAAAACATGTAGGACTGATTTCATTGAACTATCCTTCTCTTGTTTGATTATTCATTGTCATCCTCTTCATGATTTGGTCTGTCTCCTTGCTGGTATCATATGCAAAGATGGAGATATTGCTTCTGTTCCCTTTATATGAGCAATACAAAGTGAACAGAATCTGTACTTACAGAGTTTGTTAACTATATGAATGCAACTTGCTACTTGTCGTGGGTGAGTTATTGGCTGTGGTGCCATCCTCTTACCTTTTATCCTCCCTGCCCTCCACCACCCCTGATACCAACACCCTGCTTGGTTCCAAATCACCGACATGAAAGGCATTATACAAATGTAATTTGTAGATGTTGTTGTTTTTGGTTCAGAACTGACCTTGTGTCCAGTGGTCCTCATGCTAAGACAGTGTTGCTAAAATTGGATCGACCTTTTCTGGCGAGCAAGAAAAAAAGAGAGGAAACAGCATTGATTTCCAACTCCATCGACATCCCATATGTAGCAGGTCATGAACAGAGGCCCAAGGGACAGACAACGGCAAGTCTGTTGAGGACCACAGTTCAATGGTCCCAGGCTGTATTGTGAGCACCAATGTTCTGGATAGATCAGATGGAGATCAGTGAGATCACAGCCACAGGCATCTGCTCTGTCAGTCTAATGTCAGACTGTTGATTCCTGTCCCACTTCAAAAGCTGAGGCTATTACAATCTTTAAAAGGGAACTGGATAAATACTTGAGGAACAATAACATTAAAGAGCAGAGGAATGGGATTAAAATTGATAGTTCTATTGGAGTTGCTCACAATGAGCTGAATATCCTCCTTTTGTGGACTCTATACTCCTAAAATACCACTTTGCTTTTGACTTGTGAGATCATTTTATCTTAACAACATCAACAACTTGTATTTGTATAGTGCTCTCTCCCCCTGGAAGGACGTATCCTGGTTACCTAATTCTGGAGAGTGTTAGGCACAGTTGGCATGAGCCTAAGACTTGGGGATCCCAGGGTTGGATTACTGCTGAGTTTAATTACCTAACACTGCATAGCTTGCCACTGGCTATCAAGAGTACTGCTGTTAGTCCAGCTAAGACTGTCCCACTGATTAGGGTTTTGGCTTGCAGGCTATGCAGGAGCTGGGTGGCAGGAATCCCTGCTTTCAGTGACCAATCTCCCCTCCATGTCCTGCCGATGAGCCAGGACAGCTAGATGGTCATCAGTAGTGCCCTGGAATACTATGGACCGACCTGGTTCACGAATCGAACTACCGAGACCTTCACAGAGGATTGACTGTTGCCAAGCCTGTCACCCTTGGAACCCTTGGAACCAGCCCAGCATCATAGAGATCCTGCTTAACCTCCTACCCCTCTTCCCCCCTCCCTTCCTCCTAGGCTATATATGAAGCCAAATGGTCTCAGGGCTAAGACTTGGTGGACTTTGGGGATCTCAACTACACTTCAATTGATTGGCATTATTGTTAATTTTTCAGTCCATAATTGCGATCACGATTTAGAGACAACAACGGAATGTTTTAAGGAGAAAGGAGAGAATTACAGAGGGACAATAAACACCACACCTTCAGGAATTCGCTGCCAACACTGGAGCTCCCAGTACCCTCACCATCACAACTTCACTCCGGAGAACTACAAGTGCAAGTGAGTAAATTAGCTCACTGTTAAGGTTATGAACCACCAAATTTTGTGCCCCAAATCTTTATATTAAAGCTCTGAATTCTTCCAGATGTGGTGTTCCCTCTCTTCCTCTCTTTCTCTCCCCACTCTCCTCTTTGTTTTGTTATAAAAATGTTTGTTTGGATATTGCTTTGAGCAGAGTAGTACATATTGTGGCCGGCTGTTTGCTTGGGGGTTTCGCTGTTGTGACCGCAATGATTTAATTGAAACCAAATTCCTAGTGGGAGGAACATGTCCTGGTTAGAGGGAAGAAACGAGTAAAGAGGACAACTGCTGATGACTGTTGTTCAATAGATTACTGGATTACTTTTAATATCCAACGGCAACTGTTGCAAACCTCGCTTTAGAAAATTGAATAGGATATGGGGATGGGGCCAAATCATGTTCTATAGATTGTACATGACTGTGGTAGGAGCAGCTTTGATGTACTGAATGCCCTTTTCTGACTCCAAAGTTTATGTTCTTATTGAAACAAGCTGGAATTTATATGAGGTGAAACAACATTTTTTCTTTTCCAATTTTCTCCCTCTATTTTCTCTCCACTCTTCCTCTTCCAGAAGTGTTTGACTTTACGTTCTCTCTGTACTGGGGTACAGTTTTAAGGACACTGGTTATTCTCTGACAGTACATGCCCATAATTGTTGAGTATTAATCAGGAGCAGGAACCCTGGCTGATTTCCGCCTCCCTAGCCTAATCAATTGATCAGGAAAGCCTTGGCTTGCACTTGGGGAACACAAATTGTTAGTTTGGGCTCAGATGGTAGTACTCTTTCTCCTGAGTCAAAAGGTTGTGGGTTCAAGCCCCACATCGGAACTTTGAACTCATAGTCTAACTAGGCTGATACTCCAGTGCAGTGCTGGGATAGTGCTGCATTGTCAGAGGTCCCATCCTTCGGATGAGATGTTAAACCAAGGTCCCGTTCTGCCTGTTCAGGTGGATATTAAAGAACCCTTGGCCTATTTAAAAAGAGAAATTAGTTTTTCCCCAGTGTCCTGGCCAACAATCTTCAACGCCTGAGATAAAAATTGGCCATTCACTATGTGTTAATTTGTGGGACCTTGTTTTGTGCAAATTGGCTGCTGGGTTTGCCTGCAAATGTACAGTCCTTACACTTCACAGTAAAAACGTTTGAAACACTTTGAAATGCCATGATGATGCTATAAGGTGCTATATCAAATGAAAGAATTACAGTGCACTCCACATAATTGCTTACAATAATCTTTGCATTTAATAATCCTTGCATTTGATATAGTGCCTTATCAGCGCCTTGGGACGTCCTCCCGATGTGAAAGGCGCTTTACAAATGTAATCTTGTTGTTGTTGTTGTTATTATGCCTTTGAGATGTCTCAAAGCAAATCACAGAATGTACTGTTAAGTGAATTGACAGTATATTTTGTGGCTGAATTGCATACTGCATTTAATTGCTTAGTAATTCTAGGTACTGAAGATTCACTATTTGTTCGCACAGTATTGCACTCTGCTCAAATGCATATTGAATGATTGCATAATTTGTTTAATTCCATGAAAGATAGCTCGTCGATGTCATTCGCATCTATATAATTAGTTCAGATAATTGCACTGGTCGAGGAGTTGACTGTGGGAGGTGTATATATGGTGTTATTACTTGGTCTCTGTACTTGTAAGATTCTAACTGAAAATATACAATGTGGGCTTCTGATTTTGACAGAGATCTAAAGGAAAATTACTGCAGAAATCCTGATGGAACAGCAGTCCCCTGGTGCTTCACCACAGATCCAGAAATTCGAACAGCTTATTGCTTTCACATCCCAAGATGCGAAAGTAGGCATCAGCCTTCAGAAGGTAAAGTGCAATGGATAAATGCTTTTTCAGTGTATCTAAAAATAGAGCGAGCCTGCTATTGTATTTCACCTTGTGAATGTTCACAAATACATGCAGACAAATAATCACTGGTAGCCAATTGAAAGACTGTTTTCTCTTTCACTGCTGCATCCATTAAAACCATGCAACAAATCCAACTCTTTACGGTCTCTCTTAGAAATCTATTGGAGCACAAGAGGGCAACAAATCATGCATTTTCCAGAACAATCCATGTACAGGAATACTTGTCCAAATCAATTGGAAGAGCTAAGCACAGTATCAATGAACTACTGTATTCAACTTAAAAAAGGGGGAAGAAAATCTGAAGGTGTTGAAGAAAAAGGCATCAGTTTATTATCCTTTCAACTTCAGATCCCTGAAATTCCTCTCAAGATTTAAGATTGTGCTGCTTTTTTTTTCTTTGAGGTTCCAGAGTAAAGAATTTTCCCAATTCAACACCATCTTAAATTGTCTTCCTCCTGAAGTTGATGACCAGCAGCACTTCCTGTAAATAGCAGGCACGCGGAACACAGGAAGTGGCATTAGTGGTGCTTCCTGCTACATTCTGTAGCTTCACACATGAAATGATCAAGCAAACATAGAATTATACAGCACAGAAGGAGGCTATTCGGCTCATCGTGTCTGTGCTGGCTCTTTGAAAAGAGCTATCCAATTCAATCCCGCTCTCTCCCCATAGCCCCGCAAACTTGTCCTCCACAATGTCCTGATGACCTGACAACCTGGAAGTGAGTCACTTTTCAGAGTGGAAGCCAGTTAATCAGCTTGAAACATTGGGTATAATCCACTTCCAGTTAGCATGGGTCCACAGTGGACGTTTGTTATAGGCAAGGCAGTAATTTATTGAAAAATACTCTCCTGTATTCTTTATACAGTGTGACCAAAACATTGTGATATCATTACAATGTCTAATAAGTCTTAGAGAAATAATGATTTTTTTGTTAAACAATAGGGTAGATATCATGACATTTTGGTCACCCTTTATAAACCCTTCCAAGTTATAGTCAATCTATAACTTTGAACTGCTAGACCAACTGGGTCAGAGAAATTGGGGTTTTGGCTCAGTTGAGTTAATTGGGATAACAGGGTGACCTTTGTCAAGTTTAAGATGGTGAAAGCAAATTTGCATTTCTATCACTACAGGGTGAACCCTAGTGGGAATGCAAAGTGTGGTGATGACATATGCTTTGTTATGACAACCTTCCATTTAAGAGACTTGCTCTTTTGGCTCCAACATGAATACTGATCACTGATCAAGTGTGTAATATCATTTCACCTTGAAATTTTAACATCGTGCAAAATTACGGGAAATTTCTCAATTAAATCTTAATTTGGAATTTTTTTTTAAAAGAGCGAAGCTTAAAATAAAGTTCGCCAAAATAAGATTGCATTTAAGAATTTGGCACAATTCTGCACAGAATAGTCAAACAGGCTGAGACTGTAGCATTTCAGGCCTCAGAGATGCTGGATTTCCTTGAATCCAAGATCAAGGGAATCCGCTCCGCGGTCACTTCCCCTCCAACTTCCACCCACCACCCACCCCTTCCCTCCCACACTCCGACTCCTACCCATCCTCCCCTACACACCTTCGTACCCGTTTCCCCACCCTCTGTCACTGAACTCATCCTATCCCTAAAACCAACCACCTGCTCCCTTGACCCCATCCCCACTCCACTCCTTATCTCCCAGCTCCATTTTCTTGTCCCACACATCACTGACATCATAAACCTGTCCCTCTCCTCTGGCTCTGTCCCCATTCCATTAAAAACTGCCATCATCACGCCCACCCTGAAAAAACCCTCCCTTGATGCGTCGCAGCTATCAAGCTACCGGCCCATCTCCAACCTCCCCTTTCTCTCCAAGGTCTTGGAAAGAGTTGTCGCCTCCCAACTGCGCTCTTTCCTCTCCACCCATTCTCTTTTTGAACCCCTTCAGTCAGGTTTCCGTGCTGCTCATAGCACAGAAACTGCCCTGGTCAAGGTCACCAATGATATCCTGACCATCTGTGACCAGGGCTCCCTCTGTCTCCTCGTCCTCCTCGACCTATCGGCAGCATTCGATACGGTCGACCACACTATCCTACTCCACCGCTTGTCCTCCCACCTCAACCTTCAAGGCACTGTCCTTGAATGGTTTAGGTCGTACCTTTCTCACCGTCTTCACTTCGTCTCAACGAATGGCTTCTCCTCCACCCCCCGTACTGTCTCATGTGGTGTCCCTCAGGGCTCTGTCCTCGGTCCCCTCCTCTTCACCCTCTATATGCTCCCCCTTGGTGACATCATCCGCAAACATGGGGTTAACTTCCACATGTATGCGGATGACACCCAACTCTACCTTTCCTCCTCTACTCTCAACTCCACGACCACCGATGTCCTGACAGCCTGCCTGTCCGACATCGAGTCCTGGACGAGAGACAACTTTCTTCAGCTCAACGTGCGAAAAACCGAGGCCCTCCTGATTGGCTCACGTCAGCGCCTCCGCACCTCAGGCGCTGACACCATCAGCATCCAAGGCTGCACTCTCCACCTCTCAAAGCCAGTCAGGAACCTCGGCGTTTTGTTCGACCCTGAGCTGTCCTTTCTCCCTCACATCCGCACCACAACTGGCACCGCCTTCCATCACCTCCGGAATATCGCCAGATTACGGCACTACCTCACCCCTCACGCTGCTGAAACCCTGGTTCACGCCTTTGTCACCTCAAGGCTGGACTATGGGAACTCTCTCCTCGCCGGCCTTCCCGCCACCTCCCTCCACAAGCTGCAGGTCATTCAGAACTCTGCAGCTCGTGTACTGTCCCGCACCAGGCTTCGGGACCACATCACTCCCACCCTCGCTCGCCTCCACTGGCTCCCCATCCCCCAGAGGATTGATTTCAAGATCCTCATCCTCACCTACAAGGCCATTCACGGCCTTGCTCCCTCCTACCTCTCCAACCTACTATCCCCCTACCTACCTGCCCGTACCCTCCGTTCCTCTGGCTCCGGTCTGCTCCACGTCCCCCGCCCCAACCGCCCTACTATCGGTGGTCGGGCCTTCAGCCTCTCAGCCCCGAGGCTCTGGAACTCCATCCCCCAGTGCCTTCGCCTTGCTTCCTCCCTTTCCTCCTTCAAGGCCGGTCTCAAAACCTTTCTCTTTGACCGTGCCTTCAGCTCCCCTCTCGACTCTCTTCCTCCTCCTCGCTCCCTCCCTTCCCTCCCCTCACCCTGACCATTTCCCCCTCCTCTCTCCCTCCCTTCCCTCCCCTCACCCTGACCATTTCCCCCCTGCTCGGGTCATGACCCAACTGTGCAGCGCCTTGGGACGTCCTCCTGACGTGAAAGGCGCTCTATAAATGGAATCTTGTTGTTGTTGTTGTTGTTGATAGCGAGCAGGTATCAGAGTAAGTGAACTCATTGGCAGAAAGTGAAAAAAGTTGGAAACTTATCCTATTGTTGTGATTTGAATATTTTCTTGCTGAGCCAGCCTTGTGCTTTGTCTAGAGTGTTACGAAGGAAATGGAACGACCTACAGAGGGACTGTATCTAAAACCAGAGGTGGGATAATCTGTGCGCCATGGGAGAAATACAGCTTGATTTCTGAAAGGTATTGCATTGTTTTGGGTGCCTAAGAGTTGGGGTTGCCATTGCTGGGGAAAACAGAAACTTTTTCACTCAATCTTAGCATCCAGAGAATCATTAGTGTTTTCTGGTTTAGAAGAAGGCCATTTGGCCCATTATGTCTGTGCTGACTCTTTCGAAGACCAATTCTTTCAGTCCCATTTTCCTGCCCTTTTCTGCATTCCCCTGTGGTTTACTTCCTTTGTAGATGTCTGTAGAGTTCCCTTTTGAAAGCTAATATGGATTCTGCCTCAACCACAGCTTGTGCCAGGGCATTCCATATCCTAACTAAGCTGTGCATGAAAATAAAATCTCCTAACTTTCCCATTTGCTAGCTGTAATAAATTGATGCCCTTTAGTCACTGACTAACCGACCAGTAGAAATAATTTCTCCTATTGACTCAGCAAGACTGCGGCACAGAGAGGTGTTGGATAAATCTTCCTCTTTGCCCCCAAAATATGTCTCAACCTCTGCTGTACCTTGAAATGTTTCCATTTGCCCACAGCAACTGAGATCGTCTTACCAGGTTGACCAATTAAAAGTTGTCTTGTAGATTTGTGCTTTCTTTGGATTCTTACAGGGCATATTTGCACCTTTTTCCTGTGCTGGGCTTAAATATAGCTTCCACAGGTGAAAACAAAGTCTTCTATCCCACTTGCCTTCTTCCTTCTCTCCCTCTACTGTTGTGTAGTGAGATATTAAACCAACTCCTCCCTCCCTATTCAGGTGGACATGAAAGATCCCATGACACCACTTGAAACAGAGTTTCTCCTGAGTGATCTGATCAACAATCCTCCAGATAAAATTAGTCATTCGTTTCATGTCTCATTGTGAGACATTGCTTCAGGCGCTGACAGCATCAGCATCCAAGGCTGCACTCTCAACCTCTCAAAGCCAGTCAGAAACCTCGGGGTTCTGTTCGACCCTGAGTTGTCCTTTCTCCCTCATATCCGCGCCACAACTGGCAGCGCCTTCCATCACCTCCGGAATATCGCCAGACTACGGCACTACCTCACCCCTCACGCTGCTGAAACTCTGGTCCACGCCTTTATCACCTCAAGGCTGGACTATGGGAACTCTCTCCTCGCCGGCCTTCCCGGCACCTCCCTCCACACTGCAGGTCATTCAGAACTCTGCAGCTCGTGTACTGTCCCGCACCAGGCTTCGCGATCACATCACTCCCACCCTCGCCCTCGCTCACCTCCACTGGCTCCCCATCCACCAGAGGATCGAATTCAAGATCCTCATCCTCACCTACAAGGCCATTCACGGCCTCGCTCCCTCCTACCTCTCCGATCTACTATCCTCCTACCTTCCTGCCCGTACCCTCCGTTCCTCTGGCTCCGGTCTGCTCCACATCCCCCGCCCCAACCGCAGTGGCCGAGCCTTCAGCCTCTCAGCCCCGAGGCTCTGGAACTCCATCCCCCAGTGCCTTCGCCGCCTCCTCCCTTTCCTCCTTCAAGGCCGGTCTCAAGACCTTTCTCTTTGACCGAGCCTTCAGCTCCCCTCTCGACTCTCTACCCCTTCCTCGCTCCCTCCCTTCCCTCCCCTCACCCTGACCATTTCCTCCCTGCTCGGGTCCTGACCCAACTGTACAGCGCCTTGGGACGTCCTCCCGACATGAAAGGCGCTCTATAAATGGAATCTTGTTGTTGTTGTTGTGCAAATTGGCTGCTCCTTTTGTCTGCAAATACAGTCACTACACTTCACAGTAAATCCTGTGAAGTACTTTGAGACATTCTCCCAATGTGAAAAGTAATATATCAAATAGCAAGGATTATTATTCTGTCATGAAAGTATGGATTGCATTATTTTTCAAAGAATAAACATGTTCTAAATTAACTGGCAACAATGAGATTTGCCAAAATGTGTTGAAATATAGTTAAGAGTATTTGAAGGCTAAGTGGAGATATGGAATAAATCTCAATCATGTATTTCTGCTTGTAACATCTGTCCATAATATTTTACGGAAGAAACAATGGAGCAAAAAATGTGGCCATTTGAATCTTGCTGGTGGGAGTTGCCTTCACGTCAAAATCTGTCTTCCCACAATGAACTGTTGCAAATCAAACACAAAAAAGCATGATTGCATTCTAATCTATACATATGTAACTGGCTGCTGCTGTAACAAGCGGTACTATGGAGTGATGGGCGTAGGATGCATTTTTACCTGAAATACACAAGAGAGATGACATCTCAGTACAAAGGGTGGTAGAAATTTCTTTGTCAGTCTTATTGCTGGTTCTTTAACAGCATCTGAACAGGCAGACAGGATATCGATTTGACATCTCATCCAAAGGAAAATATTTGTTCATGCTCTTATATTTTATCTGTCCACAGTGGAAGTCTACTAAAGAACTACTGCCGCAATCCAGATAGGGATAAGCATGGACCCTGGTGTTACACTGCCGATCCTAACACCCCGTGGGACTATTGTGCAATAGATTCTTGTAAGTATCTGAAGATAACACCAACAAATTTACATTTGTATACTGCCTTTCACGTAGGGAGGACGTCCCAAGGCACCGGTGCAATGTAAATGCTTCAGATAAATGCAATCAAAAAATGTCCCTACGAGTGTTTTGAAATATATATATATATTCACAGACTTAAAACTTAGGTCCGCAGTTCCACTCCCACTGAAATCCTGACTAGGCTATTCAGACTCTTAATGGTATGCCTGATCCTCTCCCCAGTATGCCTGATCCTCTCCCCAGTTCTGAAATGGAACATCTCTGATGCTGTGACATCAATCAAAGCAAAGTAGGGTTGTAACAGTTTTCCAAACCAATTCAGAAAAGCAAGGTTGGGGAGAGAGATAAGGGGACAGGATGAAGGTCAATAGTTTAATATTGCCAATATTCCGAGTCATAGAAATTTACAGTGCAGAAGAAAGTCGTTCGGCTCATCAAGTTTGCATCTGCTCTCAGAGCATGTCTCTTCAAACCTCTGACTTTCATACAACTGTCTACTTCCCTCTTAATAGCGCCCGAGACACTTTTGTGCTTGAAGGGCAAGTTGTTGTTGTTGAAACCCACAATGGACTCTGCATGTACCACCTTGCTTGGCCTGGCATTCCACATCCCACCAACTCTCCGTTGACACTCCAATGCCTCATAAGGGTTTCCTGCATTGTCAGAGGTGCCGTCCTTTGGATGAGGCATTAAACTGAGACCCATCTGTCTGATTCAGGAAAATGTTGAACATACCATGGCAATACTTGAAAAGAGGAGGAAGTTTCAGAGGTTCAACAATTTGGTGAATTGTTCAATTCAGTTGGTACATCGAAGCCAGTTTTCCATACTAAAAAGAAAACCAACTTCAAAATGAAAAACTGCATTTAAGAATTTGACAAATTATGGACGTCCTGAAATAAAACATTATTAGAGGAAACCCAGGAAGAATGTTAAGCTTTTCATCCTGATTGTTGCTATTGTGTCAATTGGGGTGAATTGAAGCATTCGATTTGAATAGTTGTGAATGCCTCAAAGGAATGAAATGGAACTCCACTAATGTTTTCATGAGGGTCAGTTATAACGTTGTGTTTCCAGACATAACCAGGAAATTCACATTCGGTCCCTTCATTGAAGAAACGACTAAGGACCCATCAATCATCATTGGTGTCTTAAATGCTGCTTATCCATGGATTTTATTTCTAAAGCCTCCTGGCTCTTTGTCTGAGTACTGTAGATCTAGACACTTTCCTGTGGACATCAAACTAATACTGTAAATCTGAGTACCAAGGATTGAGCTTAGAACTTTTGGCACTGTAAAAGCCCTTTTGAATTTGATCCGGCGTTTCAATAATTTTATTTCAATTCAACTGGTGAGATGCAACCTGGTTTGTTTACAACGGAGCGTTGAGAGTGTGTGCACATGCGGACAGTTGGATTTACACAGCCCTTTGTCGTCAGAATGAAAGTTTCTATAAAGTGGCTCACAAGATGAAGAATACATTGAATCTTGTCAGGAGTCGAGTGCGTGTGACAGGGCATTGGGTTCTAATTTGAGGTGATTCATAGCAAGAATCCTTTATATTAGGAGTCCTGTAGCGTGTTGGTTAGAGCACTCGGTTCGCAAGCAAGAGGATCTGTTTTGATTCCCAGGCAGGGAGAAACTTGAGACAAGTTTCCTTATTCCACATATTCACCTTGCAGTAAGTAGCAACTTGGTTGTTAGTTGATTGGCGGATCGCTTTTCCTGGGGTAATAATCCCTTTTCAAAAAAATAATTTGGTTACTCAATCCACTGCTGTCTGTGGGACACTTCTGTGCAGTATATTCTGTGAAGCACTATGAGACAGTGGATTCCTGGCAGAAACTAGGATTGCCTCACACTGACTAGTAGGAACCCTGTTTTGATGCGCCAGAACTAGACTCAGGAATTCCAACTGTTTGGTACCAACTGAGACAAGCTAACACCACTCTCTCCTCTGAGTGAGAAGGTTGTGGGTTCAAGACCAATGTCAGAACTTTGAACTCACAATCTAGGTTAATACTCCAATACGCTGCTTGGGGAGCACTGTGTCATTGGAGGTACCGTTAAACCGAGGTTCCGTCTGGTGGACGTTAAAGATGCTATGGCACTATTCGAAAAGAGAAAGGAGTTTCTCCTGGTGTCCTGGTCACCATTCGCCCCCAAATAAAATTGGTCATTCACTTCATGGCTGTTTGCAGGATATCACTGTATATCCAATGCAAAGAAAGCATTTCTGGCTAATAGCTAGATTCCTGCTCACAACTCTTCAGTTATAAATTGCTGTAAATTGAACCCCGTTAGCTTAATTTGGTTCCTCAAAATCCTTTGAAAATGTAAACCATAAATCTTGCAGTCGAATCTTTCAAGTAATATTTTTCTGTGTTATGTTCTAATCTAATGTTCTTTTTATTCAGGTTCCAACGGACCTCAGAATTCATCAGGTATGCTTGTCCTCATTGTGATATTGTGTTAAGCTTTTGTGAAATATTACACCTATTTGCATAAAATTTTACAGCACAAAAACAGACCATTTGGTCCAGCTAGTCCATGTTGGGGTTTAGACTCCTTCTAAGGCCTGCTTATCCTCTATCCTACAACCCTACATTGTAGTCGGAATTCTCAATCGTAGGGAAACCAATCCAGGGAATGAGGGACAGAGGAGGGGAAATTCCGAGTCAAACCTTACAATTTGTCAAATTCTTAAATTCAACTCTTATATTGGAGCTGTTTTTGTGTAGTTCTCCAGAGAAGCTGCCGATAAAGCAGCTTCACAATCAAGACTGCGTTTAAGGATTGATCAGTTTCTGCACGCTCTGAAATGCTAAGATAATAGCTCCAGTCTAGACCTGGGTGGAATTACCCACCCCAAGTGGTAAAGTTAAAGACCTCAGCAGTATTGTAAGTGAGAAATTCTATTATTTACATGCACTGCAGAGGTAGGTAAACTTACTGACAAAAAGCAACCCCCAGATTTCAAACACCTCTCCTCACCCGGCTGCCACACACTAGTAGAAGAACCTCCCCATGCAGCCCTGGCAAACTCAGCACAGAGCGGGATTTGAATCAGTGAGCCCCTGGATTATAAGCAGCAGCTCTATCGACACTACAACATTGGAGCTTACAATTTTCGTTAACTTGAAGCTTCAATTCTTCAAACTCCACACTGGGATTGAAATTGCAATAGTTATAAACTAGATCGCTTCATGTCACTGAACATATTTGAAAGGCACATCGTAAAGACAAGTTGTTGTTGAGTTGTTAATCATAAGTTCTGGTCTGCAGCTATCACATTGTGAGATTGTGTGCGAGAGAGTGACTATTGGCAAGCTTTTCCACCAGGATAGGTGGAAGGGGAGGGTGGGGGGAGAACTATCACCACTGAGTAAAGAATACATTTCAAATCAAGCTATTTCTTCTTCCTCCTTAGATAATGCCAAACCGTGTTCAATTACCCCATTGACCAGAATAATAGGCGGATTACCAGCAAAAGTCAAAACGTTCAGTTGGATGGTCAGTTTGCGACACAAGTAAGCTGTTCTAATTCCTACACAATTCAAAGTCCGGCTAATTTACAATTTTTCTTAGTGAGATTCTTAATAAATACAAGTTAATGATAAGGAATCCCATTAGGTATGTAAGTTAAGTGCGTTCAGTTGGTAGCATTATCAACCTCTACGTCGGAAGATTGCGGATTCAGAGTAGCTGGAGATCTCAGCATTATACCTTCTAAACTCTCAATTTGACAGGATTCTGGAGAAGATGAATGTAGAATGAATGGGTGTGTGAATCCGTATTTTTTAATATGTATTTTATAATTGTGTTGGGCATGTGATGCGATCATCCATCGACGAGCACTTAATCAGAAACCCTTTCCTCTTCCTCTTAGGGATATTCATTTCTGTGGAGGATCATTGATCAAAGCGGAATGGGTTCTCACAGCCAAGCACTGCTTTTCTACATGGTATATTGTCTCTCCTCTTGACTGCAGAGTGACTTGATTTCCAGACTCGATATAATAATAATAATCCTTGCATTTGATACAGCGCCTTATCACATCTTCTAGAAATCTCAATGCGCTTCACAGAATATACTGTAAAGTGAATTGACTGTATATTTTGTTGGCAAAACGTGGCAGCCAATTACAAACAGCAGTGTCCCACAAACAGTCGTGGATTAGGTAACCAGATTATTATTATTTGTTGAATTGCATTGAATCACTGGAAGTGGAAGGTCCAGTTGGGATGCAGTGGTTGTAGTTGGTAGAGCACGGACAGCCAGGGCCTTAAAGTGGGCTCACACAAAGGCTTAAATGCCGCTCTACGCCTTCCCCAAAGTAAGTTGTGTCCGAGTATGGAGCAGAAGCTGTGCTGCAGGGAAATTTCAGAGATGGTGCATGTCGCCCCCTGGAGGTTGTGTCTGAGGGCACTGGTGGTGATTTGGAAACAGAACTATTGGTGGAAGAAGGTAGAACTTTCAGTTTCAACAGAAATAAATCTTTGAAACCAGCAGGTTATTTTGAAAAAAAAATGAAGTTTCATTTACATGGAATGATACAGCCTGGAAACATGCTATTCGGCCCACTGATACTTGCCAGTGTTTATACTCCATGTGAACACCACCCCTCCTACTCCCACCTCAAATAGCCTTCTATTCCCTCCTCCCTTATGTATGCATCAAGTTTCCACTTAAATAGATTGCCAGTATCCCGTGAATAAACCTGGAGATGCTGCTTCTCACTCTGGCAAACAGCTACCATTAGCCTCGCAACAACTCACAGTGTTGAGCCTTGGTGGGACTGTTTAAGTGAGAAGTAGGTAAATACTGGTCTAGTAAGAGTACCAGAAGGTAGGGAGAAAGGACAGGCCGATGGTGTTCTGTGAATGCTCTTTGTCATAATGTTCAACTATTGGGAGAGTCAGTCTGAGTGATGCACATGTGTTCTTATGTTTAGTACACCAGACCTGAGGGGCTATGAAGCTGTGATGGGCATTTACAAAGAAGACAAGAGCGAAGAAGCCCACAAACAAATAGCCACGATCTCTCAGCTCATTTGTGGACCAGAAGGATCCAACCTGGTGCTGCTCAAGTTGTCCAGGTTTGTTGTTATAATAATAATAATATTAATAATCCTTGCGTTTGATATAGCGCCTTATCACGTCATCGAGACGTCTCAAAGCGCTTCACGGAATATACTGTAAAATGGTTTGACTGTGTATTTTGTTGGTTGAAACGTGGCAGCCAAGGATGTTACCAGGGATGAGTGGATTCAGTTATCAAGAAAGATTGCACAAGTTGCAACCATTCTCTCTAAAATTGAGACAATGTTATGGGGACCTGACAGAGGTTTTAAAATTCTGAAAGGATTTGATAACGTGAATGTTAGCAGGATATTTCCATTTGCTGTTGAGTCCAAAATTAGAGGGCATAAATATAGGGTAGCCGGTGGTAATAATAAAATATAATAGGGAGATTAAGAGGAACTTCTTCACACAGAGGGTAGTGAGAGTAGGGAACTCACTGCTGGAAGCTGTGGTTGAAGCGCAAAGGCTCAACTTATTTAAAAGGAAACTTAACGCATACATGAGGGAGAAGAAAATAGAAGATGTAACATAAAGAATATCTCATATTTGGATATTATAATAATCCTTGCGTGTGATATGTCACCTTTTCATGTCGTTGAGATGTTTCAAAACGTTTCACTGGATTTAATTGAATTGAATTAAGTATAGTGACCTTGTAATTAACTGTGCAGCCATTTTGCACACAGGATAATTATTGATCTTATATTAATTTCATGCCTTTGATTTGGCAACTGAATGTACTGATGTGTGCGTTAGTGAAGGAAGATGGGGGGGTGGGGGAGCGTGAAGGTATTTAATGGAAATGAAAATGGTCTTTCCTGACAATTCCTAGCTTGAATTTCAACACATTGTTTTTTCTCCCAGATCAGTAAAGATAACTGAATATGTCAACCTAATCACATTGCCTCGGTCTGAATGTATAGTTCATGAAGGTGTCCACTGCAATATTTCTGGATGGGGCGAGACTAAGGGTAACTAATGACTTTCAGATAAAGATACTGTATATTTCTATCAGCATTACTACTTAAAGCAATGGTGACCAAGCTGTGGCCCACGGGCCTCCACCCCTCCTCACCATCAAGAATCGCCCAGCTCACCACCACCCATCTGAACATTTGTACTAGTCTAGACAAACATGTTCAATCGGAAGTGTGTTTTCATTTTTTCTTGATTGAATATTTCTTGATTTTTGCTATAAATCTAGAAGTTGGCCTTTTTTGCAGTGTGCAAAACTGGCTATTTAATAGGAAGAAGCCGGGTATCTATTCAGATAATACTCTGACCTACCCTGAAAATCCAATGAACTTGGTCACTCAATCCATAACTGTTTGTGGGACACTGCTGTGCGCTATTGGCTGCTGCATTTCACCCACAAAATATGCAGTCAATTCTGTGAAGCGCTTTGAGACATCTCAAAGACATAATAAGCTGCTATATCAAAGGCAAGGATGATTACTATTATCCAGTTAACATAGCGAAGATCTGCTTTTGATATTTTGTGGGTGAAATGCAGCAGCCAATTGTGCACAGCAGTGTCCCACTAACAGTTATGGATTGAGTGACCAAATTGATTGGCTTTTCAGGGGAGGTTAGAGTATTATCTGAATAGATACCCGGCTTCTTGGGGGGAAGGGACATTATAATGGTAATAATCCTAGTTGAGAAGTCAGTGGTTTTATTGTCCATCTATTATAAGATTTACCCCCCACCCCTTTTCCATTTCTTCTGCTTTGCTTTCCTTCTCAATTGATAAATTAGTGTCCTATGAAAACCATGTGAATTATATTGCTCCCGTCATTGCATTGTACTTCAAAACTGCAAGGATCATTATTATCGAAAGGATCCACTTCAAGATCCTCACACTCGTGTTCAAATCCCTTCACTCTCTGGCACCTCCTAGCTCTCCGACCTCCTCACTCCCCAATCCACCTCCCGGTGCCTCCGCTCGACTGGCTCCGGCCTCCTGCTCGTCTCTCGCACCCTCCTCCCCACCATTGGAGGTCGTGCTTTTAGCCACTATGTCCCGAAACTGTGGAACACTTTCCCTCAATCCCTCCGCCTTGCCCCCACTCTTCGCCTTTTTCAAGTTCCGCCTGAAAACCTTGCTTACGGTCACCTCCACCTCTCCTCACCAGCTCCCCACCGGCTCAGAGTCAGGCTCCACCACTCTTAAGCGCTCTAAGACGCTACCCTGCATGGAGGGTGTTATATAAGTGCTAATTGTTTTTGTTATTATTTAATTTTTTAAAAAGATATTTTTCTTTAACTCCTGTTAGGTACTGGCTATGAAGGGCAACTGAAAGTCGCTCAGATTCCCATCATTGGGAATAAAAAATGCAACCAATACCACAAAGGAAAAATTCAAATTGGTGACTCGGAAATCTGTGCCGGAGATGACAGTGGGACTGTGGGAACCTGTGAGGTAAGAGGAAAGGATTTCAGGAGAGGAGAGATTCAAGATGTTTGCGTGTGTTGTAAAACAATGGGATGGGTGGGGTTTGGAACAAGACCCATGACGTGTTAATTATCATCCATGTTAATTATTGCCTCGTCGCTACATCACGATCAGCATTGTGATATTTATTATTAGTAGTCAATTTTGGGGGTCAGCCGGGTATCTTACACATGTGGAAACCCATCACCATGCTTAGTGGAGTCCTGTAGCTCAGTGGTTAGAGCACTCGCTTTGCAAGTGAGAGACCTGAGTTCAATTCCAGGCAGAGGGCGAAATCCTGGGCAAGTTTCCTTACCCCACATGCCAAATAATAATCCCTCCAAAACCAAAAACAATAATAAATTGGTCATTTTCAATCTACGACTGTTTGTGGGACATTGCTGTGCGCAATTGGCTGCCGCGTTCGCCCATAAATATACAGTCAATTCACTTTACAGTGTGTTCTGTGAAGCGCTTTGGGACGTCCTCCCGACGTGAAAAGCGCTATATCAAATGCAAGGATTATTATTATTATTAAGCGCGTTGGGACGTCCTCCCGACGTGAAAGGAGCTCTATAAATGAAATCTTGTTCTAAGAGTGTCCAAACCAAGCCGAGATTTCCATACATCCCACCTGCACGTGGAAATCCCAGAGATTGATTGTTGGAATGGATTGCGCACTCTCTCCCTGGAGGAACACATCCTGCTTACCTAATTGCAGAAAGTATTAGTTGCAGGTTGACAATAATAATAGTCCTTACATTTGGTATAGTGGGTGACTTGAAGTCCCAGCAATGCAGACCCAGCAAGCAGATGTTGGTATTGGGATATTGGTTTGGGGAGGTCCTAGCTTTGCTTCAGTAACCGATGAAACCAGTGCATTGGTGCCATTGTGATTGGTACCAGGCATCAGTTATGGACTGTCAAGCAAACTTGATGCTTATGTGAGAGGACAGGTAGAGGGGAATAGGTGGGGGTGGAGACTGGGGTGTAATATAAACACAGGCACAGACTGATCAGGCTGAATATCATTCTCTGTAATTCTATGTCTCTTTGTTTTATAGAGAGATTATGGGGGTCCTCTGGTCTGTAATCTGCATTACTTGGAAATATTACAAGGAGTCATCGTACCTGGTCGAGGATGTGCCAAGCCCAAACACCCTGGGATTTTTGTGAGGGTGTCTTACTACATTGGGTGGATACAGAAAGTCTTTAAAACATACAGAAGACACAATAGCACAGACAGATAACGCGTGCTTTCAGAAAACCCCAGCATCGCCACTGCAAATAATTTATCAGTTGAAAATAATATGCTGCTGTAAATATTTTATTGCAAATCACTTTGTCTATCTGTCAGGCGATTTCTTTTCCTGAGTTTTAATTGCACCTTTGTTTTTGTGGGTATGAGCTTTCCAGAAGACACTTGAAAAGAGAATATGTGCAGAGAAATGTAAGAAGAGCTCTTTCATAACTTGCTTCAAACGTACATCAATCCCATTTGGAAGTTTGGTTCCTGTTATATTCAGCTTTCATATCACCGATGATTGAAACACTGGAACCGTGGCCTCCTTGTTTCTAATGAACAGAAATCTTGTTGGTGCCCTCTTTGAAATTGTTCCATGTGGTCAAGGACTATCTTTAAATTCTGAAGCTGCATTTGCATTGTCAGGGTCGATTCAGATACAATGCTCTATGCTGCCTTTCGGCTGCTGGTGTAGTGAATAGATGGGTGTAGGGGAGGGGAATAGGAGGGGTGGGAGCTTGTGTGGAGTTTTAAACATCAGCACCAACTAGTTAGTCTAAGTGGCCTATTTCTGTGCCATATCACTCCATGTAACTCTATGAATTCATGCTCTTTACACTGTGGAGTGAAATCCAGTCAAACCTGTTAAAGCAACCACCCTCGAGCAGTCACAACCGATTATCCATAATAAACCACCTCTATTCAGCTACCACTTGTCTAACGGAACCAGTGAGCATTCTTTTTAACCCTGTCAACACTTTTCCGCAGCCAGTTCTAGGTGAATTTAAAGTGTACTCACCGATAATGCAATACCAAACCTGTGATCATAACCCAGGCCTCAACTAGATTTTCATCAACAACAACAACAACAATTTGTACAGGGCCCTTCGTGCAGGATAGCATCTCAGAGCACTTAATTCCATTGATTTTCACATTGTTGGCACGTGGACAGTTTTCTATCCACTTGCCAACTTTATTACATTGACATTGGTACAAACCTCAATAAAGTGAGTTTAGCCATTTACAGGACAGCCCCAGATACAACTAGAATCCTTTGCTGCTTTGCTCTAATGGGTTGACGTGGGTAAAAGCTGTGATTGATTGACTGAAAGGGCAGGGTCCACTTTGAAAGGGAAGTTCCCTGTTCAGTCTTGAGTTGCTCAGGGAGGGGGTATCACCTATACCAGCCAGACACTGTTTCCTGGGATAAAGGCTGCCGATTAACAGAGCTAACGGGAGAGAAAGAGGACAGGACAAACCTGAAGAAACACAGGGCCCTGCTGGCCAACGGAAATGGGGAAGGATAAAGAAAGTGGTTGGTGTGAGGGGAGTAACTTTTTTTGGCCATAAATAGGCAAAAGGATGCGGGCAATTGTCAACAATGGGTTCATCTAAGGTTGAAATTAACAAAAACGAGCAAAGAAAGGGCGCTGAACAAATGTGACTGAAAAGAAGCTGGCATCGGTTCCCACGACCTTCAGAGTCTGTTTCATTGCAGTAGCTGTGACAACCCTACCTTCACCCCGGCTTCTGCCTTGTCCTTTGCTGTTCAATATGCAAGAGCCACTCCCAATGTGCAATGCGTGGCCTTTGCCTGTTAAGACTCCTCTTTACAACCTGGTAAAAACCAGGAAAACACTTGTACAGATCGCTGCCCCAGTCATCCGTGGCTCTGCCTGTACAGGGATGTCCCCTCACCTGGCGCTACACAAATGTAATTTGTTTTTGTTGATGCGTAAGCTGTCTGAATGCCGACTGTGAACATCCCACTACCTTCTCTAGCAACCCACATACTGCAGAGTGTGGCTCTTTTACAGTGCAGTGACTGGTGCTCTGTGGATGGTTGCACAGCGAATGGTTCACAGGCAATCCATTCTGTCTTATTAGCTTTTTCTATTACTGACTGAATCAATAATGCCTGAAGAATGATAGAATTCACCATTTCTCATTAAGAGCTGTTTTTTTTCCAAGTGCCTGACCTTGTGCCAATCACAGTTCCTGTTTTCTTTCACCTGCAGGGTAGAATAAGCACTGATTACTTTGTGAAACTTAGACTCTACTGGAGCTCTCTGACTAACCATTTTGGGCCCTTAAATTCCATTTAGTCTTAGCTTGTGAGACAATTCTGTCTTAAAATCCCAGTTCACATGGAAACATGGAAAATTCTTCAATTCAGTCTTAATTTGGAAGCCAGTTTTCCATAATTCTTAGCGTCAGAGATTGAATTCAAGATTTTTCTCCAGATCTGGGGGATTCTAAGACAAAACGGTCTTAAACACTAAGACTGATTGGCATTTCAGGTCATTAGCCCTTTTATGTTGTGTGTAATAACTATCAACTTTATATAACATTAAAATATATATTATTTTTGTATAAATACGGTGCACTCGAGAGCCGCTGTTTCTTTTAAATGAGCATTTCTTCGCTCAGTTTGAACTTATCGTGTTGTGCTTTCTTCCTGGTTTCCATTCCCTGGTTCTCTCCTGAGCTGGACGGAGATTAGAAGTTATCAAATATCCAATCAAGTGCCTGACCTTGTGCCAATCACAGTTCCTGTTTTCTTTCACATGCAGGGTACAATAAGCACTGATTACTTTGTGAAACTTAGACCCTTCTGGAGCTCTTCAGGGTACAATAAGCACTGCATCTTCACTTCAGCATGCATCTTCCATTCTTCTGGTTTAGCAAATGTGGAAATTGTTGTCATTTTAGAAAAAAATAGACTCATGTGAGAATTGATCTCCATCTCAAAGAAGTCCATTGAGCAACTAACAACTCGAATAACTATCCTCATTTTCGGGTGTAGGGAGAAGGGTGGCAGAGGGTTTTCTTGAGGCTAAACGGACTCTTCAGGTGATTTCTCTGGCAATGCAATATCAGAATTGAGTTGATGCTCTGTGGCAATCTCGGTCACAATACCTGAGCCAGGCAGGTCTGCAGTACTCCGAAGACATTGCTGATGACAGACTAGCTAGCCTAGCTTATCAGGAGGACTTGGAGAGGCAGACCAGTCATTGCACCAATCAGAGTAGAACAAGAAGACATATGTTTAAAGTTGCAAAGGACAATTTCAGCACAGCTATCCAGAGAGTAACTAATGACTGGAACAGGTTGTCGGGAAAGGTGTTTGAAGCCAGGATATTGGCCTCATTTAAAAACTGTGATTGGGCAGATAGTAGGATTGATATTCTGGATGGATGAGATGAAATGGGTTGAAGGGCCTTCTTCATTCGAACTGATCTTGTGAAGCTATGACTGGCAATCATCGTGGTTTCATCTCAGGCAATTACCCCAATACACTCTGGGAACCATGTGCTTTGTTAGCTCTTGCCAACCTTCCCCTAACACTCTCCAGAATTAGGTAAGCAGAGCACGTCCCTTTGGGGAAAACCTACACAGTCCATTTCAGACATGGGGACATTTCCATGTGTAGGTGAAACAAGGTCCCTGTTGTCCCACTTCCAGTAGAATTGAAGAGTTCTTGAGACCATTTAAAAAGAGAAGGTGGCCTAATGAATAAGTCTTGATATCAATTCACCTCTGGGCTGATGTGGGAGCCTACTGTATACAAATGGCTGCTACAGATCAGCTGCTACAATTCAGTTATCACCTGTAAATTGCTTTGAGAAGTCCCTGTATGATCAGGCATTGTGAAATGCAAATCCTTTTTAATGATCTCCATTCTTTCACAAATTCAGTGCATGTTTGGCTGGAGGTGCACACATTTCAATTTGTGGGCGTTTATCATTTTATAAAAATCAAATGAGCTTGTTTACTTGTGCTTTTTTAAAAAATCATTTATCAACTTGTTTATCTGAAATCTGCATTTCAAAAGAACCTAATATTGCTTGTAGAAGCTGTAATCGTGTTATTAATCAAAGCACAGTTGCCAATGTGGATGACAATCTAATTCATGACAGGAGCAGTACCAAGCTATCATGATATAGGAATGGTCATTTGCAGAACATTAGCTTAATGTGATAATGCTAGAAGTAGTTTGAGGCATCTTTGCCTGGAACAAATAAAACTGCTTTACCATGTGAAGAAAACCATTTTGAGTTTATGAATTTCCCTTCATCCTACAATTCCTGCCATACTTATATAACAATAACACTTGTATTTGATATAGCATCTTATCACGTCTTCGAGACATCTCAACGCGCTCCACAGAATATACTGTAAAGTGAATTGACTGCATATTTTGTGTTGGTGAAACGTGGCAGCCAATTGAGCACAGCAGTATCCCACAGACAGTCGTGGATTGAGTGAGCAAATTATTATTTGTATTTATTGATTTTTTGAAGGGATTATTAACCCCAGAAAAGCGATCCGCCAATCGACTAAAAACCTGGTACCTATTTACTGTTGGTTAAACAGAGGCATGTGGAGTAAGGAAACTTGCCCAACGTTTCGCCCTTAAACTGGTTTCTACTAAAGAAACTTATACAAAGAGTGCAATGAAATTTGCAAGTTGAAATGGAAACATTTTATTATACTCTCAGAAATTGGGACCCAAGAAAAATTACAGCCACATGCTTTGAATTGTCATTGTTACTGTATCCTTGTGTGCGCAAGATGGAAAGTAAAGTAAAAATGGATGTTATCCACAAGATGGAAAGTAGTGTTTGCAGCACACATGGAATTCCCCAGGGGTTTGTAACTGAGACTGGTGGGTCCTCAATTGCAATACAATTCCTTCAGTTATTGATAATTTAAAACCCTTAAAAAAAAAGCTGCATTAGACCCTCTTTCTATATCTTCAATATTCCAGTCAGCAGCGCAAACTGCATAGACACAAGATGCTTTCCAGATTGTTGTAACTCTATGTATGTTTTTCCTTTGCTGCATTCATTATTTCATTTAAATTATTACCTTTCATACTCAGATGGCATTCTGTCAATGAATTAGATACAAAATGGTCCACTATTGTTATATTGTTGGTGAAGGCGGTAGGGGGTGGGGGTGGTTGATGGAAACCAATGATGTGCTTTACAGTTCAAGCTCACTACTTCAAAGAGTTAATGCTGTCTGTAAACTTTCCAAATGTGCTTATGTTAGAGTTTATGGTAGAGTTGCAGTCAGTAGAAACAAATTTTGCCCTGAGTAGGATGAATGCAGCACTGGAGACATGTTAAAGGTCCATTTTCCAGTTTCATCTTTCAGATATAAATTTATAATAATT